AGAAAATGTATTTTTATTAAACGATTTTTAGGAATTAAATAAGATTCAACCAACGTAAAAAGCTATTTTTATATTTTTAATAATTGTTCATGAGTTAACTTTTTATTTTCTTGAATATGATATAAACATATGGTATTATGTATAGTATAAACATAGTAAACTTTTTATTTTTAAATTATTTTATTTAACTATAATAATGTCATAAACTTTTTAGTTTTTTCACCTCTAAATATACAATTAAATAAAATGCACATTTTTTTATTTTGAAATATAGACAAATTTTATTAATCTTTTCAATTTGTTAGCAATAAGCTTATTTTATATATTTTGGAAGCATTAAAGAAATATTTTAAATTATATAATTTTGTATCTTACATTTTATAAGTTGTGTCGCTATAAACACTAATTATTAAGGTATTATTACGGTTCATCATTATACTTGGTAGGCAATCGGATTTCGGTTATATCATAATAAGTTTTCATCGAATTTTTGCATTAGATATGAATTTACAGTAAATACTCAAATCAACTTTTAGGCTATCGGATTCCAACCAAAATATAATTATAGAAGGCTTTAAAAAATAACCGAAAAGAAAAAACAAAATCAGAAATATAAGTAATTTTCATGGAAAAGTAGTTTATTTAATCTAATAAATATTGAAAACATGATTTAGAAAATATAAAAAAAAAATCCAACCAAAAAAGTAGTCGTAAAAAATCTTAAAATTTTTAAAATGAAAAAGAAAAATAAAAAAAATAATGATTTAATTGGAAAAATAATCTAAATAAAAATAACTATTAATAAGATATATTTATATAAAAATAATCTAAATAATTAATTTAATAAAGTAAAAAAAAAAAAACAACAGAAACTATAAACCAATTCTGAAAAAAAAAATCAATTAAAAAAAACATAATAATTAAAAGTTGATTGGAAGTGTGATGTGATAAGGGTTTTTTTTTTTTTTTTTTAAATGTGGGTTTTTTTTTTAAGAAACCCCAAATTATATTATTGAAGGTATACGATTGTTTAATCTATTTTTTAAATATATTTCTCATGTCGTTAACTATCATCTCTGTATGAATTAGGTTATGTTTTTAATCGCTAAGCTAAAATGTATGCTAGATGAAGACATGGGAAATATCTTAGAAGCAACATTTCCTTCTAGCACCGATGCTTGCATCAAGGTATAAAAAATTCATGGAGCTGTGACCCTTTATAAAAATTATTTGTTTTAAATATTTTTTTGTCATCTAATGCAATCACTCTAAACTTGTTTTAGTAAATTGTAGAATCAGAATATTAGATGGAGAATGATAGCCATAATATCTTTCCCTGCTGGCACATTTAAACTTTTTAGATTTTTGTAATTTAAATATTATTGTTAGAAAAGTTATAGTTTAATTTAAGTTACATTTTAATTTAAGTAATAATGTTGTGTTTTTTTTTATTTTTATTTTTTTAAATTTCGTTATCTTAATTGTCTTTTTATATTTTATATTCTATTTAAATTAAAAAAAAAACACGACTATATTTTAATATAAATTTTATGTGGTAATAATTCTGCTACTAAAAGTAGGAAAACAGAAGTAATCTAGCACCTTGGAAAGTGAGGTGTTGTTTTGTTCGCAAAAAGTTGCGGAAGGAATTTGAATTGAAATTGGAAAATAAATCTCTGTGAATCCAATTTCATATGTTGTTTGGTTGGAAGGAAATGTAATTATAATTAATTTTAGATTGTATTTGGTTCGCATAAAATGGAATTGAAATTCACGTAAAATGACAAAATTACCCTTTTTACCTGGTTTGCTTAATTTTACCTTGTTTTCTATCTTATATGTAAAGATACACAAGATAAATTATAAAAAACAGTAAAATTTCGGTTGTGGTGGCATTCGTGGTGGGGACGGTGGTGGTGGTGGCGACAGTGATGGGTGGCAGTGATGGTGGTGGCGACGGTGGTGGTGATGGTGGTGGTGATGTTGATTGTGGTGGTGGTGATTGTAGCAGTGGCGATTGGCGGCGCTGATGGTGTTTGTGGTGGCAGTGGCGGCTGGTGGCCATGGTGATAACGAAGGTCGTCGTGGCAGCGTTGGTGTTGGTGGTGGTGGTGGCGGTGGCGGTGGTGGTGGGTGATGGTGGTGGCGATGTTGGTAGTTATGGTGGTGGCGGTGATGGTGGTGGCGACGTTGATAGTGGTCGTGGGTTATGGTGGAGGTGGTGGTGGCGGCATTGGTAGTAGTGGTGGTGAGTGATGATAGTCGTAGTAGTGGCGGCGACAGCGACGGTGGCAGTAGTGGTGGGTGGTGGCAACAGGGGGTGGTGGTGGTCGGTGGCAGTGGCGGTGGCGGCGGTAGGGTGGTGGTGGTTACGACAGCCGTGGTAGTGGGCGGTGGGGGTGGCAGCGGTGGTGGTGGTGGCGGCGACGGTGGTATGGGTGGTGCGGTGGTGGCCGCGGTGGTGGTGGTCGGTGATGGTAGTGGTGGTGGTGGTGGGTTTTCTAAGAAGTACAAGGGGTATTTTTGTAATTTGTCACTTTCCTTGATGAGAATGAATGTTTTTCATCCAACTTTGGAAGGAATTCACTTTCCTTCATATGGTGGAAAGTTTATTTCATTTAGGAATCCTCCCCCCCCCCCCCCCTTTAAGTCCAACCAAACGCATGAATTCGAGGGAATTTGAATCTTTTCCTTCGAATTCCATTTCATTCCTGCCAACCAAACTCACTCTAAATGTCCTCATTTGGAGGGCGAGACACAATACATTACCAACTCGTCTAAACCTTGCTCATAGAGGCATCAACATAGGATCTAGCTTGTGTCCCATCTATAATGCATTCCTGGAAAAGGAGAATCACCTATTTTTTGAATGCTCTATGGTAATGGAAGTTGCAGCTCACATAAACCTCTGGTGGCCGGTTATCCCAATCAATCCACGGTCGATCGATGAGATGCTTGATATCACTTACGGTTTGTTATGTAGAACTACGATGGGGAGTTTGAAGTCTGTTGTTATTTTTGCTCTCATTTGGGTCCTTTGGTGTTATAGGAATGATCATATCTTCAACAACAAGGTTAAGCAGGCCAAAATCTTAGCGAGTAAAGTGCAATTTTATGCTTTTTTCTTGCTTAAAAATAGAAGTAGAAAAAGGTAATTAAATCAAATGGTTTGATTGGTGTACTAACCCATCCTCGGGTATGCTGGTAAATTTCTTCTAGCCACTCGCTAGCTTAATTTCTATAATAAAAACTTTCTTGCTGTTCAAAAAAAAAAAGTAGGAAAATGACAATTGTTTAATTTGGTTGCAGAAAAAAGTGTTACTAAAGGTTGTTACATAATAAAAAGTGTCTCTAAACACCAAAAAATGTTGCAGCAACATAACAAAAAAAATGCCCTTAAAGACTTTTAGTAGTATATTTTATTTTCTGTTGATAGCCGAAGGTTAGGATGTAAGCGTTTTCGGAACCAGAATAACCGAACGACCGATTAAGGAGCGAATGAGTATCTTAGAATTAGACCAAAGATCACTAGTCGGTTTCGGTTCTACTAGAAAATGTGTACTCTAAGAATGTGTGTGGTACCGAAACGAAAATAACAGAAAACCGAAAATGTTGGATTGAAAGAATCAAAAACCAACCGAATACCACTAACCAATTACAATCGGTTATGGTTCCTCGGTTCCAAATACCACTAACTAGTTTCAACGTCCATGAATGATAAGTCATAAATCGAAGCGCCAAACCGGAACAATTATGTGCTATCACATAACTTTATATCAACTAAGTTCACGAGTTAAAGATTAGCGGACTCGAACCGCTGACATTTGTGGTTGGGTAAACCATCGCCTCTCAAGTTTCTCGATTGATTCTACCATAGAGGCAAAAGTTAGACAATAACCGCCCCCCCCCCCCCCCCCCCAAAACAGTGCTTACAACTTTCATTGTATTATGCCATCCAAAAAGAAACTATTGTCAAAATCTCGCTCATCAGTTGATGAGTTGGAATCCCATTGTAATTCTAAGGATTCTTGTGGTTCCAAAGGTTCATCAAATTATAGGAACCATGAACGAAGAGCTCCCCCCCCCCCCCATCTTTTCCGACGAATCTTTGTCCTTAAGAATGCTGGTTTTAGGAATGAGTGAGTATCCTTCTCCGACCATTATTGCCCAACTTGAGTGCTCAGAGCGGACATCTAATACATTACACTTTCTATGGTCGATCTCTGACCACCGGATGCCAAAGGCATCCTTGGTGTAATCTCGATGGGAAAAGATGGTAGATTTCTACATCTATGGTTGGGAAAAGATGTGGTGAGATGATGTATTAGTGATTAAGGAGACAAGAAATGGGGTGTTGCCTTGATCAGGTTCTTCCTAGAGAAGGTGACTACACTACGAAGGGAAGTGATCAAGATTTTACCAAAAAAGACAATTAAACTTATATTTAATGATTAAATCAAAATACTCTTTAATTTCAATTATGTATTAGATTGGACTTAAACCTTCAGTTTTATGGATGAATGACATCTCATCATACCGGTAAGTCTCCATACCGCTAAGTCAAAGACATGTTAGTATTGTCTGTTAGTTATAAACAAAGACCGCAACTAAACTCATATTTATAGACCAAATTGCTCCAAAATATACTTTTGAAGAGTCATATTTAACCATTCATCAACCATATATCCATAATATAATAGAACCATGAGTCCATGAAAGTCAAAAGTGGAAATGCGATTTTAAGTAATGTACTTCGTAATTTACTTTATAATTTATTACAAACGATGATGATGTCTCCTACGTACTACACATACAAAAAAAATCCAAAACACCGATGTTTATAATATTACATTAAAATTTTTATGACGGAAAATACTAAATGATGAGGCATCTTTCCATGCAGAATCGTCAAATCCAAAGAAGCATCCCTCCTTCGTTCTTGAATACCACCTTTCACACACACCCACGTTGACTTCATCGTCCTTTCATGAATCCTACTCATGGCACCCTCGAATCGACACCGGAGGTTGATGATAGATTCCACCATCCCGTTTTGCAACCTTCAATGTGATCCGGAACGTAACCCCTCTGGCATCTGTTTTCCCTTTTGCGCCGCCACCTGTCCATCTTTTTGCCGCATCGCCGACTACTCACCTCCACCATCATCATCACCGTCGCCAGCAAACAGCCCTTATTCACAACCAGCACCACCAGCGCCTAACCACCCAAAACTCTCTTTCCCGCTTAAGCTCTCTCTCCTCTTCCTCATCGCAACCTTCATCTACACCCTCTACAAGCTCTACACTGTTTCATACAGATCCAAACGTCGCCGCACGCCGCCGCCAGTGTCACCGGAAAATCAAGAAACCCTAGATGAGGATGCTCTTGATCACCACATATGGTACATCAGAACCACTGGTCTTCAACTGTCTGTAATAAACGCTATAACCATCGTGAAGTTCAAGAAAGGTGATCATGGGGTGGTTGTGGGGACTGAATGTTCTGTTTGTTTAACTGAATTTGAAGCAGATGAGATGCTTAGAGTGTTACCCTATTGCAAACATGGTTTTCACTTATCGTGTATTGATACATGGCTCCGATCACATACAAACTGTCCTTTATGTCGTGCCGGGATTGTTGATGACGCTGTTGAGGAGCCATCACCAGAGCAAAACGCCGATGATTTGATATTTCCTGAGGAAACAGATTCACGAATTTCATATATGGAGGATGATGATCGTGTAGAAGGTAGTGTAAGTTCTGGAATTATTATTGGGTCAGTTTCTATGGAGGATTTTGCAACTTCTGATCATCGTGGAATCCAATTTCAATCTGTTGATGGGGGTTCGGGGATTGAATTAGTCCAAATGGAGCAAAGAACAGATAACAATTCTCTTAAGATAGTCGGGTAGTAGTCAAAAATCAAAATCAAAGATATTATTATTATTATTATTATTATTATTATTATATATATATTAAAGTTGTGGAAGAAACTAATATTAAAGTTGGGATACTTTGTTCAGTTTTGGTCCCTTGATTTACATATCCGGTTCCTGTACTTCTTTAATTAATTTATTCATGTCCTTTTGTTTGTGTTCCATTCAACTTCCCATTTTTTTAGCAGAATTGGTCCCTGTATTATTGTTGGAAGTTAGGAATACTAAATTTGGATGTTTTTTGGCAACTTTGGTCATTATTCTTTATCCATTTTGACACTTTTGGTCCTTGCAATCAATATTTTTACACTTTTTTGGAACCTT